ATTCATACCACTAAACGCCAATAGCTACTAAAACGATTACTGCAGGAGAACAAGTTACTGAGCTGTTATATATATATATATATATATATATATATATATATATATATATATATCTGTATGTATATATATATACCTATATACACACACACACACATATACATAAAAAATTATGTATAAGGAAGATTATAGAATTCAGTATACATGATAAGTATAAGTATGGATCATCACTACACACTAGCTATTACCTGCGTCTTCACCCACGAGTTTATTTTGTTTACGCAACTACAAATGGCCACTTACAATAAATCTATGCTAATACTAATACCTATACCTATGCTTATACTAACGTACAAAGCCAAAGAGTTTATTTTATTTGAACGTGTAAATCTCTGGGTGTAGAAAAATTGTTTGTGCGTTATGTAGCCTACTAGCAATTCACCATCGCTTCGCTCGGGTTCGTCCCTAAATGCTTTTGACGGTTAGTACAGATTTCTCAGAGTTGAGATATTTTCCCGCAGTAAAAAGTATCCTATATGTTGACCCGGATAGCCAGCTATCACCATACCAAATTTCATCGAAATCCCTCCAGCGCTTTTTCCGTGATGCGGTCACAGACAAACATATATTATATTTTCATTATAAATTCGGTATCGATAATAATAAATACTATTTCAATAAGATTTTCCAAAAAAATATTTAATGTAAAGAGTCGACTTAGTTAGAATTTTATTATATGTATAGATTTATTGAGGTACGTTATACCACAGATCATATAATACTATACTAGTAGTTATACACATATTTTGTGTGTGTGTACATGGGTGTGGGCGTGGGTGGGTATGTGCGTGGACGTGGGCGTGGGCGTTGGCGTGGGTGTGTGCGTGTGTGTGTGTTAGTGTGTGTTCCTGTGGTTGGAAGAATTTAGATTAAATGTCATAAACAGATACATATCTAGGGGCACACCTAAGCAAATGAAAGGTAAGTCACAACAAAAAAGAAATAAATATTTAAAACTCATAGACGAAGACAAATCGAATAAGTAGTGTTGAAATAGATCTCGATGTAAAATAGGCTACGTCAGATGCTCATCTTCCCAAGGTGGTTTGCGAGGGGAATGGAAGCGGAAACACTTGGTACATTCTCATGCTTATGAAAACGAAAGTTTTGTTTTTGTATTCAAAATATATATATTTTTATTAATAAATTATACGAGTGATATACCCTCGTTTTATTCGGGTCCCTGAGTGCCTTTCGCGGCTTGATACAAAAACTTTATTTTTCTTCATATAGTAATTTATCCTGGCATCGCTCGGGTGCGTCATTAGATGCCAAAAATATATGGTACTCCAGGTCATAGCCTATATCTGTACCTACAAAATTTCATCCAAATCCCTCTAGTATCGTCAGGATGAAGGAGTTAAAATAGGATGTCAAAAAATGGCCAAAAAGCTCCTATTAACACATTTAAAAAAACCTTAAGTATATTAAAGGCTTATTATAATACGATCGGTTACATCTTTGGTTTGGTAGCTAACATGTGCATTGTCCTGCAGAGTGCAGAACAAATCCGGTGGTCCTGACTGAGCTAGGTATATATATATATATATATATAGCTCGTATATATATATATATATATATATATATATATATACAGATATAGAGTATATGTAGATATACTGGGCAGGCACAATGGCAGGAATGGTTTATTAAAATAGCAAATTTTAATAACTTTTCTGGCTTTAAGCACCATCATCTGTCTATGATATATACCGTCATGAAATTGACCACTCTCTAGAAAGAGAGAAAGCGACCGTGCGGCCAAACCTATCTTTTATAAGAAATTGGATTTATAAATAGAATGTAAAAAAATATAATATTATTGGAATTATAATATTATAGTGGAATTTAAAATAGCTATAAATATATATCTTCATTAATAATAATATATCAATTAATACAAAAGACTTCTGACCGCACATTCGTTTTGTCTCTGTAGTGCCTTTCCGCTATTTTCAGCCGGCTGCTGGCAAAGAAACATTTAGTCCACTCTCTCTACCTATTGGTGAAACCTTACCAAAAATCAAAACCTGCCATTATAAATTACTAGCGGCTCACCGGTACGTTTTAAATAGATATATTAGCCATATAAATTTATTTTTTTTTTCGTTAATTTTTCACTTTCTCTTTATTAAAACCTTCCGTGTACCTTGAGAAACTTACAGCCATTCTTGAGTTATGCGCTTACCCACATTCATTTTTATTTATATAGATAGATAAGCTGTATGTATGTGACAAGTCGATAATTTATTTAACTTTACTCTTTTACCACTCATATTAGGCTGTCGCTGCCACGCCCCGTGCCCCACGTCCCACGGGGTAATGGCTCTAGCATTTATTTTGATTTGTTGGAAGCCTAGATATTGACAACTGAAATTGTTGATCCATATATAGTTATCTTACCAATAACTTTGACGACATGTTTGGCTCAGTTTGTAATGACCTTAGGTACTTGCTCTGCCAGCGGTCGCGGGTTCGAGTCCCGCTGGGGGCATTCATTTGTGTGATGAGCATGGATGTTTGTACTCAAGTCATGGATGTCTATAATATTTATATGTATGTTTTTAAAAGTTATATATGTGTAGTGTATTAACTATCTGGTATCCATAACACAAGCCTCGTAGCTTACCATGGAACTAGATGGTGCTGTGTGTTAATGTCCCAACATATTGATTTTATTTATTTATTTATTTATTTATTTATTGGACCAATGAGACAGCCAAAATGAGCTCTATACAAAACATCCTATACATACTCCCATATAACCCGGCTAAAATTAGAATGTTAGGTAAATGAATAGTAAATAGTCGCATGTAACACAGGTTGTTATTGCTAGCAATTATTTTGCCCGCAATTCGAACGCTCGCTGAAAGCAAACACAGTGCTTTATAGAAATGGATGAAACATGAACATAGATACTGACATTTCGTTCTAGATATGACTCATCTTCTATATCTATACATACAATAAAATTCATCTATACAGAGACCGAATATATAGGCTGTCTGTCTGTCTGTCTGTGACCGCATCACAAAAAAACCACAGGACAGATTTTGATGAAATTTGGTTGGTGATAGCTGGTTATCCGGGTCAACATATAGGATTTTTTCTTTTCCACATTCTGGAATCTAGCAGCCCCCATATTTAATTTTTTTTATGTCACCTATCTAAGAAAATTTGGACTAATGAGACGAATCTAACGATACCTTAATTTAAAAAATCCATCGAGTGGAACATACAAAGATAGGCGCGAAAAACATAACTCTTTCCTTAAATTCGGGTAAAAAATCTAAAAAGATAGTTTTTTTTAAACTAGCGACTCACCGTCCCTTCGCTCGGGTTCGTCCCTATGTTGATTCCCCTTACAAACTTTCATCTCCATTTTCACCCCCTTAAGAAATAATTTCTGGAATAAATCATATCCTATATTCTTCCTAGGATCCAAAACTATCTTCTTATCAAATTTCATCTAAATTGATCCAGTAGTTCTTGAGTTTATTCGTTAGAAACATACAAAAACACAAATCTTTCCTCTTTATAATAGTATAGGTAGTAGTATAGATAGCACCTATTTTATTAACCCCCGACGCAAAAAGAGGGGTGTTATAAGTTTGACGTCGATGTCATAGCTCTCAAACGGATGGACCGATTTCGATGCGGTTTTTTCATTTGAAAGCCAGTTTCCTTGCGGTGGTTCTTAGCTATGTTTGGTCAATATCGATCCAGCAGTGTAAGAGTATCAGCTCTTTTCCAAAATGATGTAAGGCGTTTTGGCGTGTAATTACTAGATTAAGTGCTTCACGCGTGCCAATGAAATCGTTAAATGACAATTAATTTGCGTAGGGGGTTTAAAAAAAAAATAGTTTATATTTATCACATCCACTAGCTTTACATTCTAGTATTTCAACGGCTCCGTGCCGCCCGTCGCTATCGTTAGATTATGATCGGCTCACACTTGGCGGTTCCCACAAACAAGCCTACGGAGTAATACCTGTACTAATATATACTGGTATTTATGTATTTGTACCATAATAAGGATGGGAGTGAACTAAATAAAATGTAAACTGAAGCTTATTATTGTACTAGTGGCCCACTATTGCTTCGCTCGGATGCGTCTTTGTATGTAGATGCTTATCTATACTAATATTATAAAGAGGTAAAGTTTGTGAGTTTGTGAGGTTGTAGGGGGTAATCTCTGGATCTACCGAACCGATTTAAATGAAATTTGGTAAGAAGTTTGAGACCCTGGGAAGGACATAGGATACTTTTTATCCCAGGAATTATCCCTTAAGGGGGTGAAAATGGAAATGAAAGTTTGTATGGGGAATCAAGCCAGGGGCGAACCCGATCGAAGCGAGAGTGAGTCTCTAGTATAATATACAGACAAGAATATCCCTCAATTCAATATACGGGTATTCAGATTGTTTGTTTATTTGCTATTCTTTTTAGCGTTACTCAAGAACTTCTTAACCGATTTTGATAAAACTTTTAGTGGTTACATAACTATATTTTAACGATATATAATACCAAAAGCAAATGTAGTAACCAATATCATAATGATGATGATGTCCTCCTGACCGATTCCGGCCACGGCGGCCAATCTCATTGAAACTAGCCAACTGCGCAGGAGATATTATAGTGCACAAGTGTCCTTTCACTTTCATTTTCAATGGGATGATAATTCGACAGGACCAGTGAGAGATCAGGCGCATGCCCGATGACTTAACACGCTCTCCGAGGCGCGGGGACATACTGACAACTTCTCAACTCCGGGTTGTTACTGGGACTTCCATACCAGAAAGACTCAATAACTTAACTTGGCCCGGCTCGGGACTCAAACCCAGGACCTCCGGATATGCAGCCGTATATGCTAGCCACTTTACCGCATAGGCATATCAAAATATCGTCAATATACTAATAGCAAATATAAAATCAGAACTTACATTTCCTCCTCTCAGTCGTAGATGGCTGATTGTATTCTTTGTCGGGCACTTCCTCCTTCACCTTTGCCTCCATCTGTTAACAAAATGTATACATTATTTATTGTTCTAATCTATACATATAATAAAATTCTAACTGAGTCGAATCTGTACATTAAATATTTTTTGGAAAATCTTATTGAAATAGTCATTATAATCGATACGGAGGCCGAATCTATAGTTATTAGAATTTTTGCCTGTCTGTCTGTCTGTCTGTTACCGCATCACGAGAAAACCACTGGACAGATTTTGATGAAATTTGGTATGATGATAGCTGCTTATCCGTGTCAACATATAGGATACTTTTTACCGCGGGAAAACATCTCATTTTTGAGAAAAAATACAAAAACTGCAATGTAAAGAGTATACTAATATGTAAACCCTAAGAATTTGGTTTTTGGTCATCTGAACGCGGGCGGAGCCGCGGGCAATGCCAGTGTGATATATGTACATATGTACTTGCAAGCAATTTTTGGTTTGTTGAAAGTAATTTTTAATAATATGCTTATTGCCTATGCAAAAGTTCTCTTAAAACTGTCACCAATGAGGAAGAAAACAGTAAATTAATTACGCGTAGAGGGCGCCATATGTTTGTTACAAAAGTACCGTCAATCTCTATAGAAACTGCTTATATTTTTTACAGATTTATTTATAAGAAACTAAAAAATGGGTCTCTAAACTGTTGTTTATAAGTTTCCAAGTAACATTCAATTAAAACGGAAATGGGAAAAAGCATTGAAAATAGTTAACTTTAAATCGAGTGCTTATTCGAGGTTATATAGAAAACATTTCAAGGAAGAGGAAGAAAACATAGTTAAAACGGTGAAAAAAACGTATAATTTCGTTAATACTATGTACGAGTTTCATATTTTATGCCTTTTGACAGGTAACAAACACACAGCGCCCTCTGCAAAGTGTTCAGTAATCTTCCCCATTGTGTTTAGGTAATTATTCCAATGGAAATAAATATACAACGATGTAAATTGAATCTTAAATGAAATACTTAAAGTTGTTTTCACAAAAATATTTTTAAATCAAATACGCGCCCAAATGTTCATATGAGCGCTCATTCGGTGAGAACATTATTTGTAGCTGATTGTACTTTTTTGTTCGATGGTTATACTATTTTATTTATACAATTGCTATACTTAAATGGTATAAATTATATATGTTGACTTCTAACAAAGAGAAAAAAAAAGGAAAGGAGAGTAATCGAGTGTAAGTATATTTGTATGTTACGCAATATCTTGTGAATTATAAACATATTTTCATATTTTTTTCTATAGTTATACTTCAAAAATTCCATGTAAATTACAAGAAAATATTCCATATCCAAGAGCAAAAAATTGAAAATTCAACTATCTTTTCGATTTTTTTCCCTTTTTCCCGACGTTTCGAATGCTTTACAGCAATCATGGTCACGGGAGATACTAATATTTTAGACAGCACCTACCCATAAAATTATACAATAATATAAAAAAAAATACAAAAATGGCACCAAAGTACCTTACAATATTTGCTAATTGTAAACAATATTTATAATTTCAATAATTTTTCTAGTTGAATATTATTTAATAAATTTTAAACAATAAAACTAATAACTTTTAGTTAAAACATAATAATAATAATAATAATAATAAAAACTCTTTATTGCACACACTACATAGGAAGAAATATAAAAAAAAAAGAAGAATACAGTAGTAGCAAAATGCACAAGAGGCGGCCTTATCGCTAAAACAGCGATTTCTTCCAGGCAACCTTTAGGTGTAGGATATAGCAAAGTGTGAATTGGAAGGGTGTGAACAAATAACAGAGATAAGAAAAATAAAAATGATAAATACATATATACATACATATGATATTTTATATACGTATATATAAAATATATAAATTAGGTATACGTAACTAATATAAATAATATGATAATAAGTAATAAATAAATAAAATAAAATAATAATATCAGTTTAACCAAATAAATAAAATGACTATATTATATATATAAATATATATATATTTATATATACACATGAAAGGCAAGAAATATTTTAGTACAAATAAGGATAATAGCTATACATATATCAGTACATATAATTTAAGAGTAAATTTCAGAATAAATAATAATGCAGCAATCCGAAGGAATTAAAATGTATAAAAGTGTTCTTTTAGACGTTTTTTAAAAATCATTAGAGATTTCGCATCCCTAACGTTACGGGGAAGGGAGTTCCAAAGTCGACAGGCCGTAACACTAAAGGAGTTGCCATAAAAGGTAGAGGAGTGGGAAGGAATTTTAAGGATTAAATTTTGGGCAGAACGCAGAAGGCGAGAATGGGAATCTCCAAGGAATTCAAAACGTTCTTTAAGGTAATTTGGAGTGGACGGATCGAACAGAATACAGTAAAGAAGATGAAGTATATGAGTATTTCTGCGAAGACGAATAGGGAGCCACTTGAGCTTTTTACGAAGATTAGAGACATGGTCATATTTACGTAAACCAAATATGAACCGAATACAAAAATTTTGGAGTCTCTCAAGTTTATTTAATTGCTCCTCTTTAATATCAAGGTAACTGATATCAGCATAGTCAAGAATTGGTAATAGGAGCGATTGTGCTAACGCAATTTTAGTGGAGATTGGAAGAAAGTTATGCAAACGTCGAAGCGATGCTACCGAATTAAACATCTTCCTGCTTACCTCACTTACCTGTGGAACCCATGATAAGTTCTGATCCATAATAATACCAAGATTTTTGACGGTTTTGCTATAAGGTATGCTCACGCCGTTTAACACCACAGGTGGAAGAGTGTAGAAGTCAATGCTAGATATGAGTTTAGGACTGCCAATGATTATAACTTGAGTTTTCGAAGGATTTAATTGTAGTCCAAACGACTCACTCCACGTGGTAATTTTTGAAAGATTGTAGTTAATATCGTCAATTGTATTAGGTAAGTCAACAATTCTAGATTGACTATAAATTTGCAAATCGTCTGCATAAAGGTGGTAGAGAGAAGAGATGTGTTGACAGATATTGCTAATAAAAATAGAAAATAAAAGAGGAGACAACACGCCACCCTGTGGAACGCCAGCCTTGACTGGAAGCCAGTCTGAGTACGAATCTTGTATTCGTATTCGTTGACGACGTCCATGCAGGTAACTACGAAACCAGTCAATTACATTAGGAGATATGTTAAGAGTAACTAAGGAGGCAAGCATGATATCAATGTCTACAGTACCAAAGGCATTGCTAAAGTCCAGCAATACAAGCACTGTGACTTGCTGCGTATCCATGCCCATCCTGATATCATCAGTGATCTTGGCTAACGCAGTAGTCGTACTATGACCAGGACGAAAGCCGGATTGCAGAGGATCATGAAGATTATTACTAGAAAGGAATTGAGTGAGTTGCTGGTGTACGAGGCGCTCGAGTACTTTGGATAGGAAAGGAAGGATTGAGATAGGACGATAATCATTATAACCTGCAGGGTTAGTTTTTTTAGGCAAAGGCAAAATTTGGGCGTCTTTCCATGATGAAGGAAATTCACTGTTATCAATAGAGTAATTTAAGATGGAAGTAATAACAGGAGATATAATATCAAGGATAGGAATAATCATTTTACGACTAATGCAGTCAGCACCGACTGAGTCAGAACGGATGGCCAGAATATTCTTCTTAACATCACTTTCTGTAAATTGACTAAAGACGAAATGTGGAATATTAGGAGTAGATGAAGCTGAAATTTGATTAATGGTTTTTAGCTTTGTTGCCTTATCAATGGCACTAGATGAAGAGAAGTGCTTATTAAGCTCATTTAAATTGACATTTTGAGGATTTGCACTGTGTTGAGCTTTCCCAACTCCTATAGATTTAAGAAATTTCCATACCTTGGATGAGTCATTTTCCTCAACCACGGAATGATGAATATGGCGTCGTTGGTTATCCCTACACACCCTATTGCATAGATTGCGAGCTTTTTTGTATTTATGGCGATTTTTATCATTAGCATTTGCGCTATATTTCATTTTAGCCACATTTTTCTTTTTCTGCAACAACTTAATCTCATCAGTTAACCAGGGAGCAGGAAGATGTTTTATGCGAACCGGTCGTAATGGGGCATGGCGGTCATATAACTGATGAAATGATATCCTATGAACAAAAGTAAAATAATAGTTACAGCCATAAAAAAATATATGTATGGCTTGTAGTGTGTATACAGACTCTTCAAATAGCTTATCTGGTCGCACTTGACCGCTGGACTGTGTTCCGCCTAACGGTTACCATCTGCCCGCCGTAGAGTAGGGCGGTGCAGACGTTTTGATCTATAAAAAAAGTACAGTTAAATTGAGAGCCTTCTCCTTTTTGAAGAAGTCGGTTGAAAATAGTTGATTCTTCTAGATTCTTTTAAGTCTAAAATAGATGATCCTTCCTTGATTCTATGATAACTAGTGTTTGCTTCGCAGCTTTTTTTTGTCATGTTGAAGATTTAGGGCAGGCTTTTGCTCTATATGTAAAGTTCTTACTTTTCCTAGGTATATTACAGGTTTTTCATGAAAATCAGTTCAGTGGTTTTTGCGTAAGAGAGCAACAAACATCCATCCATCTATCCTCACAAATCCGACTAATGTTTGAAAATCGGCAAATAGGTACATATAGAAAGAAAAAAATAAAAACCGACTTCAAACAAAAGCACTAAAAAGGAAAAAATAACTGATTGGTAGTTTTCATTTACTATACATACCTAATCAAATATTTTCGAAGTCGGTGCTTTGCTTTGTATGGGCTGGCACCGATTTCGAAAATATTTGATTAGGTATGTATTTAATAGGTAGGCTTTAACTTTCACACTTTGCTATATCCTACACCTGTAGTGTGTGCAATAAAGAGTTTTTATTATTATTATTATTTATTTGTTTATATTCATAAGCCTCAGTACTCGGTACCGGAGTATCAACAATCACGGGCCTAAACCAAGTGAGTGCCGATGTATTACGGATTATTATTTATTATATTTGAAGATACTAAAAAATTGTTGCAATTTTATT